AGAGGACAGTTACTGTTGGCATTTGCTACAACTCGGGCTATACCCTGGATGTCTCTACCGCACTGAAAGCGAATACGGAGAAGGTTTTGACTGAGTGTCTTCGCTTCTTATAGAGGGAGGATCATGATTTAAGAAAAATGCGCCATAGGAATTAATTTACGAATATCACTAAACTTGACACTGTCTTGTCTCCCAGATTTTCTCCTGTGTTAAACAAGCTCGTTTTTCCAGTTTACGTTGCTTCTGGCCTTCTGCCGCCTTTCACACCAGTGTCAGACATCGCATGTTGTCCGTCAAGTGACAGATGCAGTTTGGAAGGAATAAGCCGTTTCGAGAGAGAGAAACCTTTGTTCGACAGTAGATCCAAAGACACATTGCTGAGGCCCCTTGTTTATTTTAGTCATCTTGTACTGTTCCACATGCCCCGTCACGTAACCACATTCTGCATTTTGTCCACATCTGCATAACTTTTACTGCATTACCACCCAATGGTCAAGCTAATTGTGGCCTTTATCGCTGAGATAGCTATTCAAAACGCGTCAAGATGTTCTTCTTGACATGTCAACGTTTTCAAATCCATACCTAATCTAATGTCATTCTTTAAGTTGAGATTTTCGAGGAGAGTGAAGCGAATTTTCGAATTTGTTAGTAAAACAATCAGTCATTCCACGATTTGTCCATTCGTTTCAATAGTAAACTGGGTTGGGTGTATATCAAGAAGATATCCAGACCAGCAACGCGCAAACAAGGGGCCTTTGACAGCCCTGCCTGAAGAGAGATTGCTGTTGGCATTTGCTTGTGCTTGAGTTACTTTCCTAGTGCCTCCGTTTCTCTGAGCCGGAGGGGCGGGGGAGGGGAAGGGGAAGGAAGGATGTTTTTGACTTCTAACTTTGACTGGGATGCTTTTACCACAGTTGGCGTAACTACATTTAGTTCTGTTTGGTGTATCTGCATTTTTCTGGGAGTGTATGTTTTTCACTCCCTAATTCCCTCCAGCTGTAATGTCTCGTCGGATTTTACTATTCTGCGGTCGCTGTGATATCCTGCACATTATTCACCTCAGGCAAGGTCTGGTTGCTAACATGGCCATGAGAAGATGCTGTACCTTGGGCTTATTTTTCCAATAAACGATATGCCGAGTAAGCAATGCTGATGCAACTGGTGTTTTAGCAGAGATTGCGATGGTGGTTTCGGAATATACCGAAAAAAATATTTTGACAGCGGAAGAGGAACAGATGATTGAAAAAGCGGTGCGCCAAAAGGTAATGTATGAAAGAAAACGGCGTGGCGAAATTGTCGAAGACGAGAAGAGGTAATTTCTTTTTCGATCTTTTGAATTCAGGCGTTTCGAATTTCCAGTCTTGCTTAGAGATTTGTTCGTAATTATATCTCCTCATTACTATCATGAATTTTGCGAAATCGATTCGGGTTTTTAGTCCTGTGAGCAGCTCAGCGAAACGCAATCGAGAAGTGAAGGAAGGCAAAGGAAGCGACGGGGATAAGGAATTTGAGCTGAGGAGCAGTGATTTTAATGAGTGTGGTGGTAAACCGAGTAGCTTTGTTGGCGTCGTGGAAACAAACCAGTTGAAAGTAAGTTATTTTTAATTTCACCACCAGATGATATATTAATAGTTGGAGCAGACAGAAAATTGCAATTGCATATTCATATTAAGGAACCAAATTCAAGGGTTTTACTGTCCACAATGGATTACATGGGTTTCACTATTCATTCTGAATGAAAGCTTTTCAGGAACCAATAGACAGTCAAAACCAAGGTGGACGGCCATGTGATGGTGAAGCAAGTCTGCCAAAGTTTCCCGCAACTTCTGAGCCGCCAGCTCACCCAGCAGTGACAGCACTGCCTGCTACAACATTGACGATTTCTCCTTCACCGCCACTGCCGCCACCGCCACCACCACCAGCACCACCACCCCCACCGCTACTACCTTCTCTCTCAGAACTTTCGCAGTCGATCAGCCCGGTGTCGTTTTTCCAGCCTCCGCCCTCAGTGACAAGTAATCCTTACTTCATCACCCCGTATGTAGCGGGCTCCTCGGTGGCGCCACTGCTTTCCAGCACTCCCACAGCTGTTACATTCGCGAATTCAAATATCGCATTTGTTGGTGGATCTGCTGGAGGACCTGTAACCGCTGGAGAAATGGATATGGATATCTCGGACGATGAGCAGGCGGAAGCTGCCAGAAAAACAATGGTAGAGATTTTTTCGGATTGAAGAAACATCGGGTGCTCCAAAAAAATTTAACTGGAAAACTGATTTTTTGCTTAGATTATTTCAGAGCGACACGTATGTATTGGCGCTCCCTGTTTTTATTTTTCGCTTTTATACTCCTTATCCCGGCCCTGGCCTCTGTGTTTCTCCCTTTCACATTTCGTTCTCTGAAAGATAAAGGTGCCCGAAAATAGCCGAAATGGTGATGCATGCCAACAGCAGCTTTTTTTGGAAGGCTATAAAAAAATATTTTCGGCGAGTTGTCCGGGATAAATTTATTCTTCTGACATATGCCAGAACCATTTTATTACGAAATCATTAAATATAAATTATATGAATGGTTTTTCTAATAATGGAAGGCAAGCCTTAATCTTTAGCTCAAAAATTTTCATCGCGTTTAACTTAGCAGCTTTTTATGCATTTTTTGTCCTTTGTGCAATTTCGTAACAGACCCACAAGCCTTTCATATTCACTGCCCTTCTTCCTTCGCAAAATGAATTTCAAGTGCGCCCATCTTCGAAGCTCGCTTGTGTGCATCTTTCTAGCAAAAAACGCATATTGACGAGGGGTTGTCTGTGTAGGTGTGTGTGTGTGTGTGCCTGTATTTGTGTGTCTTTGCCGATTTTTCATCTTAAGACCTATAAAAGCTACAGGGCTGAAACTTTAGGAACTTTCCGCACTTACGAGCCTGTTAAAGTTTTTTTCGGACAAGTTGTCAACTCAAGAACCAGAAAAGCTAGAAAACTCAAATTTTAAAGGGATGCTTTCTGACAGTCCTGGCGTCCAGTCTCAGTTCCTTCAGCTAGAAGCAGGAAAAAAAAAAACAGTGCCGTTGTTGACAGAAATTTGCAGGGAACTATGCAAAAAACGCATCTTCGCACCGGTAGTCAGTGCGCTGGCCAATTATTTTCTAAATGAGCAACTGAAAATCCGATTTTCTATAAGAAACAGCCTACCATCCTTTACAGAAAGTATTGCGTAACTTTGGATCCTGTAGCAAGCCAAAAAAGTCAAATTCATTTGGTTACATGGGATATTTGGGTCAGCTCATAGCTTGATTCTTTATTTACGCGGTTAGCAACTTTTCGCGCTGCTGTATCCAGTACTGCATTGCCTGGTGGTCAGACTGCCAGCGATCCTGATGTTTTTTTTTTTTCGCCTCCTTAAGAGTTTGCTAACTTAACAGCTCCCCCGATCGAATCACTAAGTCAGGGTTTAACCGTCTCTAGATGTTTATGGTATGTGTCAGGTAATTCCCGCTCTTGATAAACCCTACTGCTCCGAGACTGCGATGAGGCATTTCACTAACCAGGAGCATATCCGCGTAAGATTTTTTAAATGAATATTATTTCAGTGTTCGACACTGCTGCCTCCACCGCCTCCTCCTCCGGCATTCACGGCACCCCAGCCACCTCCAACACCAAGCAGTAAGTTCTAATAAATTGTTATATCGGTTTTTGCTAGTTATTTCTTCATATATTTGCATTTCAATGGCTTTTCTGCCTCCAAAGTCCGCTTTCGTTTTTCATGTTTTCTGATATGATTGCGGCCAAAACTGCAGCACTTGATGATTGTCAAGATTTTGGTGATCCTGGCTTTTTTCGTTGAAGTTAAACGGGTGAATAGGAATTGAAATGGAAGAGGAGGAAAATTGGATCTCTACAGAAATAGATTTGAAATTATTTTCAAAAAAGCCTCTCATCGTTGTACTTGATGAATATTTGTGCCTTGATATCACCGTAATTAAGCTAACACTTTTTAGTGCTCCCCGTTCAACCAGTTCCACCCTTCCTTCAACATGCAACATCGGCAGGTGTACCGAAGCCTCCGATCCCAGTGCCGCCTCCAGTCAATGCTTCAGGTTTTTCTTTCCTTGAATTTCTGGTTTTACGAGAAATGCTCGAAATTTCTAGCAGCTTAAATCATCGAGTCTGTCCTTAAGTCGTTTGTAATATCATAACTTTTTTCCAGGGCAGTTTCTAGTGCCGTCTCCCTCCGTTTCACCAGCACTGCCTTCTTCATTTCCGCCAGTATGTACAGCTTTGCCGCCACCACCACCTGCACCTATCCCGCCAGAGTTTCCTATGACACCGCAACCACCATCTGTTGGTAGAAACGTAAATGTCATGAAGCACGACGATGGTACTGATATTGATGATAGCGACGATTACGACAATGCACAGTATGAAGCACATCCTGATGACGACGGTGATGACGATATCAATAAAAGTGTTGCTGTCAGTTTTTTTTTGGTTTTTTTCGTTTTTTTTTTTCAAATTTGACTCTAAAAGAAGCAAATAAAAAATGGCGATGAATTTTTTTTTAATTGGATTTTCTGTCTTTTTGTCTTTTAGTAATTGAA